CCCGCCCCCCCCCAGCCCCTGCAGCACCCGGGCTTTGGGCTGTGACGACAGGGTTGCCCACACCAGCCCCTCACCTTGCACAGGGCCGTTCTCCAGCAGCTCCTTCATGATCTCCTTCTCCTGCAAGAAGAACAGAACTGGGTCAGAGCGGGATCGGGACCCCCGGCGCTGCCCTCCCCATCCCTCGGGGGTGCAGGGGGGGGGGTGCTGTGGAGGCACCAGGTGGAAGAGCAGCTCCCCTGGGGGCTTGGCAGCAGAGTTTTGTTGGGTTTATTTTTTTCCCCAGCTTCATTTCCAAACTTTCCCAGGAAAAAACCACCCTGAGCCAAGCCCCTTCCCGCTCCCCACACCAAAGGGCTCCTGCTTCACCCACACCGGGTGGCTCTGCCCATCCCATCCCCATTCCCCCATCCCCATCCCCGTCCCCGCGGGCACTCACGCTGGAGGAGAGGCGGTAGGCGGGGGTGGACTGGTAGATGTCGTTGGCGTGGGTCTGGGGGTTGGGGCAGCGAGCGGTGGCCTGGCGCTTGCCCCTGCCCGTGGAGCGGCTGTGCATCATGCAGGGCTGCGCCGCCGGCTGGCTCTCCTGGCTGGTGAAGGGGTAGCACTCGTCCGTCACCACCCTGGGCAGAGGGACACGGGATGTGAGGAGGGGAAGGACCACCCACTCCCACCTCCATCCCCAAAACCCCACTCTCCAGCCCCAGCTGGTCCCCCCACCGGGGAGAGGATACGCACGGGGCACCGTGGTGACAATCCTGGGCTCTCCCCAAGCAACCAGAGACTCGAACCCCCCCTTCTCCCACCCCAGCATCTGCCCCCCACGTCCTGTCCCCGCTCACCCTCGCCTGCGGAGGTACCACCAGGCGCCGTCCAGCCGCCCCCCGCTGCAGCCCCGCTGGTTGCGGGTGTCGCAGGAGAGGAGGTTTTGGGGTGACAGGGCGGGAGTCATGTGTCCCATGGAGTGGATGGAGATACGGTCCGAGGCGACGGCTGGGAGAGAGAGGGGTTGGGGGGGGTCAGGGAGCAGGGGCTGCTCCCCCCTGTCCTGCCCCACTCCCCACGGCAGCGGGTTTAGTCCCTGTCCCCACCGCCCACCCCGTCCCCTCCCGTCCCATCTCACCCGCCGTGGAGAAGGCCCAGGAGCCGGCGCAGTTGCCCTGGTCCAGGGGCTCGTGGATCATCCCGGGCCACTTGGTGGCTGCGTCGAAGTGTCGGGGCAGCACCTCGTTGGAGTCCATGTTCATCTGCGGGGGCAGAGCCGAGGCATGAGGGGTCCTCACCGCACGGGGACACCCCCCCCGGGCTCCTTCCCCCCACCCACAGCACCTCCCGGGGCACCCTCGGAGCGGTGGTCCCCAGCCAGCATCAGCAGCCCCCAGCCCCGGGGATGGGGACACCCACAGCTCTGCCTGAGCGCGACCAGGATTTGGGTGCCCCTTGTCCCAGAGGAGGGGGATCCCTCACACGCTGACGCGGCCCCAGACGCCCACCACGAAGGTCTCCACCTCGCACTCGTTGACGCCGCGGGCGATGCGGAAATGGCCGCCCTCGCCCCACGCCGTGCCCCAGGAGTTGGCCGCCGTCTGCAGAGGGGAGAGGGGACACGGCTCAGCCCCCAGTTGAACCCCCTCCCCTGAACCCCTACCTCAGCTGGATCCCACCCGGGGGAAGCAGGCACTTCCACCCACCCCAACGTCTGAGCCCCAACAAACTTGTGACACTCGCACCAACACTCACCCAGTATTTTTGAGTCTGGCCATCAGGCAGCTGCTCTTCTCCCCACCTGCATTGGAAAGGCAGGGCAGTGAGGCGGGGGGGGGAGGTTTTGGGGCACCCCGTTGTGGGGGTATCCCCCAGGGGCAGGGCGGTAGCGGGGGGCTGTGCTGACCCCGCTCGTTTCCTGGCCAGGCCGAGGCATTTACGTCCGCTCCCGAAATACAGGCAGGTATATTTAGCCACGGGGAGGAGGAAGGAAGCCACCAGCTCCCCTCCCCTCCTCAGGCTCTGCACCTCCATCCTGCCTCAACCCACGGGGGGCTGAGCACTGTGCACTCATGTCACTTGTGGCTGCAGCCCTCAGGCAAGCGTTTTCCCCTCTTCCCCCCGCCGTGGCTCCCCCCCATCGTGCCCTGCACCCTTCGTCCCTCCCGGCTTCCTCTCCCTCGCCTGGAGGAAGGGGACGCCTTTCCTCCCTCCAAGAAAACATTTCTCCTGCCCGGTGTGGGGCTCTCTGCAACCCCCACCTACCCCGTGATTTTGACCGAGTGGGTCCCGTGTCTCTGGTGCTTCGGCCCCTTCCCCTCGGCCACCGGCGTGTGCCGATAGATCCCGCTCTTGTACATGAAGAAATCCTCGTGCACCTCCAGGATGGCTGCAGGCAGGGGGAGAGGCGCTGGGGACACGGCCCTGTCCCCAGGGATGGGGGGGACAGAGCTTCTGGGGCTCCATGTGTCCCCCCATCCCAAGGTGGAGGGTACGGGCACTGGGGGGACACGGGGCATGGCCCTGGGGGAGGGAAGGGGCAGCCGGATCCTCCCCCGGGCGATGGGACAAGGCTCGGAGGAGGATTAAAAAAAATAATAAATTGAAGTAAAACAAACCCAACCGCCGAGACGGGGATTAAATCTCCGGAGTTAATGAGCAACAAGTGCCCGCTGGGGTGGGCAGCGTGACGGGCACCCTGGGGCTGGCGAGAGCGCGGCGCTGCCCGGGACGGTGGCTAAACATTAAGCGGGGAGAGCAGGC